GGCCTCAGTCTGTTCGCTGTGGCTCGCCACGTTGACAACAAGGGAAGCCTGTGTGGAGCGCGAGACGTTACAGAGCATTCCCCAAAAAGACACACTGAACGCGACTTGCTACAAACTTGAGTATAAAGTTCAGACAGAGTGTAATTTTGCGGTTGAGTTCTCTTAAATCCAGCTGATGATGTGGGCTTACTTTTCCTCGGTACTTCTCCAGCGAGACCGTCTTCCCTTTCGCGTCTTTCACCTCAAAAGAGTAAAAGTCCACTGGTTTTTGGGGCTTCAGCAGCTGTGTCTGGAGCAGGAACAAACAGCCCACGCCGACAGTCATGCTCAACAGGACGGTCAACCTCTTCACTTTGGGCGCGGAGGACTTGACGGGGTAGCCCCCTAAGGCCTCCATCTTAGAGGGGGCATAAAGGAAACCCGACGGGCGGGGGCAAGATGATTATGAAGGGACGCGGGCAGAGTCAAGCTAGCCGGAAATACTGAAACAATTGATGCAATCTGCGCGCCCCCTTCAAAATAAAATCATTAGTCAACTTTTACCTTTGATATTGACAAAGTCAAATGTTTTACGTTTACCCCATGTTTCAATTTGTTTTTTTTTCTGGTCTGAGGTTAATTGCGCCTCCTTGTATCTGGTGGAAAAAAAATACTTGTTGTGTCTGTCACTCATCACTAGCAAATAAAGATAAACAAACATACATGAGTCATCGATCAATTTTTGCCTGGTCCTTTTCCTGTTCAGAGGAGCTCGAGCTTATCAGAGGTGATTTTGGGAGGAAAGTTTTGCCTTGACAAAAAAAAAAGATGCATGATTTTTTTGTTTTAAATAGCCAGGCAGGATTGTGTCAAATTATCCAATTTGACGTAATTGGTCCCAAAATATATATTTACTTCAAATAATATATCTTTGTTTTTGCACTCTTTGCAGGGTGAACCCGAGGCGCGTGTGACGTCGTACAAGCGCTTTCGAACGTGGCTCATCCGCAAGCGCAGTCGCGAGAGTCCCGCTGCGAGTACGCCCTTGGCCACTGGGCAGCGCTGTCGACCCACTTTTAAGTTAGATGGAGTCTGTCAGAGGCTGGAGCTGGATTCTCCCTCGAGGCATCAGGAAACGGCCCAAAGAGCACAAGGTAGTCTCATGAATGTAGATTTGGTGTGTTCTGGTTAAATAAAATAAATAAATTAATGAATTTTAGGGGTCCTGAGCACCAATGGTATTTAGGCATCCTTAAACATGTGAATCAAAAATGTCAAGTTTTATTTTGCCTACACCATTTTGTAATTTAAAATGGGTGAAGCATATGGGTATGGGAAATGCGATCGCCACATCCTTCAAAACACAACGCATGAATAAGTCCAATGGACCCAGGCCCAATGTTGAACAAGAAGTCTTCCATTTTAGTTTAAAGCAGCCATTTTCAGGCAAATTTCCTCATAGGAGTTGCTCTAATATTTGCATAGGATGGCTGCTTCAACTAAATGATCCTCAGGAGGAAGCCGGTCGGTATCCTAGACAGATGGGTGACAGGAAAATACTGTTTTGGGGCAAATTCCACAGGTTTTACCCGACAAACTCTGATTAGGGAAAAGGGACTTGGTGACGACAGTGAGGACCCATTTATTTCTGCTTGTAGCTTTAATTATTATCGCGAAATATTTTTTTCCTTTCTTATTTGTAAAGCCTGTCATTTAAGTGCTCCACTGCATTTACAGAGCATTGGCTCAACATTTCAAACATACAAACTCAACTCAACTCAAATGTATTTATTGAGCACTTTCAAACAGCCATCGGTGCACACAAAGTGCTGTACATGGAGCAACTAACATATACAACAGTAAAGCAAAACAACAAAGGAGCAACCATGGTTTCCCCTGAAGCTGTGGGTAGCGTTTCGTGAGGCTTTTGTGTCATTGCACCAGATCACAGCTTTGAGGTTCATGCAAAATGTTTGTTATACATGGTTCAGTTCAACATGCAAATACATGCATTCTACTGAACAAAAGGAAGCTTGTGCAAACCCAACCACCCATTGCCAGTTAAATTCACGCCCTTCATGTACAAAGCGTAATCGTTATTTAATTATTTATTTCAATCAGAGTCCAGGCTGATTGTGTGTGACACCAACGCAACACCGAAGACACAATGCATCATTGCAAACCGCAGAAGATGTTCAGACATGTTCAATGTGCCAAAACAGGTGTGTTCATAGAACATAAGAAAAACAAAAACACCCGTGATTGCCTGATGAGAAAATATGTTTATTTTTAAATCATTTTTGCAGGAATGGATTTGGACTGCACATGAAAGTGGAGATGCACAATCAACTGGTACAGGCTGACTGTACTTTTACTTGGCATGAGACGACCGGATTTTAGTACTGTATTATTTATATTACATAGCATACTTTGTGCCAAGGATGGGCAACTTAAGTACTGGAGGAGCAACAATTTTTTATCAGTATTAATTGGGGGACACATAGGACCATGCACTCTCTAACCAGATATAGAACAAAAATGTCACTTTAAATATGGACAAAATATGTGCAAGTGCGCAAAATACCTGCTCTAAATATATTTCATTTTTCATAATACATGTCTCCTTTATAAAAGATCCACTATTCTTACCCAACAACAAAGGGTTGAAGCAAACAACAAAATAACTAAACAGTGACCGTGTCATCTGCTGGTGAATGGTGATCTTACAATTTAAAACTATACTGCACAACCTTTGCGGAAAATCCCCCAAATGTTTAAAAAAAATACAAATCAAGGGCCCACTCAAAGTGTGGGGGGCCACCAGTTGCTCATCCCTGCTCCATGCAATAAAGATCTGTTAGGGTGGTTCTGTTTATGACCAACAGGTGGCACTGTAGGGCTCTTCCTGCAGAGGCACACCTGTTGGTCATTGTGTCATTTGTTAGTGTTTCTGTTAAAAGGACTCCATGCCCGACCTGTCGAGATCGGGTCATTGTGTTTTGTCTTTGTGTCCGCCTTAGTTTGTATTTTTTGTTCAATACATTTTGTTCAGTCCACCCTGCCTCCATGCTTTTTGGGGTGCTACGTGACCACTTTGCAAAACCCTTCAAAGAATGACCCGAGCTCGACAGGTCGGGCAAAAAGTCCTTTTAACAGAAACACTAACTAATGACACAATGACCAACAGGTGTGCCACTGCAGGAAGAGCCCTACAGTGCCACCTGTTGGTCACAAACAGAACCACCCTAACAAAAAAGGACCATCAGGACTGTTATGGTGGCAAAGATCAAAAGCCAGCATTTGAGTTAGTGGCAATAGCAAG